ATATTTCAAGATATTTTTAAGTAAATATATCTGTTAAAATGAGATGTCCATGTTATTTTAACTGTGTGTATATATATATATATATATATATATAAAAATTATGATAATAATTCTTTGTATATATATATAAATTATACTTTCTATAATAATAATAATAATTTATATGTGCATAAAAATTATACCTCTAACTATATATATAATAATTATAACTCTATTAAATATATATATATATTTTACTTCAAACATTATTATAATGCCTGTGCAAAAATGAAGATGACATGCTTTCTTAAAAAGTAAACTAAAACCTTGCTTGCTGTGTTGTTCTCCATAGTTAAGTAGTAAAACACACCAGATGGTGGTTTACCTAAAAAACAATGGATTTGCAGACATATGTTTATATGAATTTTTGTCCTTGTTTTGACAAGAGGAACCCAACCCGAAACAAAGTTTGTAAAAGTACTTTTGATACACTTTGTATATATATATATATATATGCACAACATTGAGGCATAGAATTGACAGACATCATGTACTATTGATTCCTATGAACAACCTGTCTATATCTATAAATGCTATTTCCCCAATACTGATCACTGTTCCTCAATAAATAAAGCAAATTTTAAACACATATCCACATGAATAAAATTCAGTGTTTTAACAGTGACAAACAAATATATATTACTTAGTAGTATAAATTTTAGCTTTGTCATTTTATATCAAGCACTCTTTTATTACTACCAGCATTTACTGCACACTATTATATGTGTATGTATGTATATATATATATATATATATATATATATATATATATAATAGTAGTTATTCTTAAAATAATATAAAACAATAACATTATTATGTTTTATATATATATCCTATATAGTATAATCATAGTTATTATTTTTTAAGTAAAACTTTTACTTAAAAATAATAAATATTATTATATATATATATATATATATATATATATATAATAGTAGTTATTTTTAAAATGATATAAAAACAATAACATTATTATGATATATATTATAAGAGTAGTATACATAATACTATATATATTATGATAGTAGTTATTATTTTTAAGTAAAAATTATTTCATATAATTTTTTCTTTGGCTTCAAATGATTTTTACAATTTACCCTTGATGTATAATAATTTTTTGTAATGTTATGGTTGGATCTTTTTGGGGTTCTCATGATAAAACATATGATTTTAATCTTTCTAATCATTGCTATTGTTAGCAAAATATTTCTAATTATTATTTACAATATTACATTAGGAAGATAATTTCTGAAAGAATCAGAGTCTTAAGAAATATCTTTTATCTGAATCTGTTTGGAATGATAAGACTGTTACTATTATTGGCAACAACATTGTATCAATATTCTTACCATTACCCTTGGCAATATAAATATTATTTGTCACAAAGTAGCACTGCACTGATTAGCCTTATGAATTTGTAACTTTTTAATGCCAGAAGTATATCACTACTTAATCTATCTTGAAAATCTTTTTGCTTATTTTCTTTCTTGGTCCATTTCTAAAGTCAGTGATAGCTAAAGTTACTTTCTTTGTTCGTATTGTTATTGATATTAATGGACATTACTATAAATGGGTTCCAATCTAAAAGAAAACCGACAAAATTTGATTATTTTTTTCTATGCACTGAGGACAACTTTGACCGAATAAATTTATATGATTATATATCTGTTTAGATTTAGTGCCAATGAAAAGATGTTTTTACTCCATTCTCATACTTTCATAATAAAAAAAAAACTTGTTTATCTATCAAAGTTCACCAAATCTAAAACCTAATTGTTTATAGTAAAAAAAAAACTCAGTTTGTCAAATTGCTGAAGTAAATACATATTTTTGACCCAATACAAGGCCCAAGAGCCACTCAAGGTTGAGGGTTATTAAATGAGTTTGTTGCCCAGGAATCAAAACAGCAAAAGTTCTTATTCAGTTAGAAACGTCATGCCCGAGTTGGGTACCCAGACACTAAAACAAGCTTGCTCATTTGGGTGGACTAACACACCCATTAGAAGTTTGGGTCACAAAGACTGCTTGGAGATGAGCTGACATCTCCTCAGTAGAAGTATTCTTTCTATTCATTTACTTTTCTCTATTCATCATTCATTTATTCAATTAGCACATTTTGCACCACCGCTGTGGTCACCACTCCCCTCCATCACACAATTGCAGTTCATGGTGACATTCAAGTGAGAATAGTGAAATGGCTTGTTGATCCCTTTTATACAGGGCATGTTGAGGTTACCCTGTCCCTCCTCTCAGATGTTAAAGAAGCAGACCTACAAAGCAGCAGATGGCTTGAATTCAGAGTTTTCCTTGGTTGCCAGTCAAAGCTATAGTGCCCAGTCTGTCCTGCTATTTACCCATAGCCTGGAGGGAGGGAAGAGATGGATTCATACCTTTTCCAAGGGTATTAGTATTTAAGTGAACTCAAATGGAATTCAAAATTAGCTCTCTGATTACTTAATCCAAGCTGCTATCCATTGTTCCACCATGCCTTCTCTGTATAAAACAGCTGCAGTGTTACAAAACTGTCACAGTTCTGTCACTATGTACCATGCTAATAGAAATATATACTTGAAAAACAAGGTGGATAGAATATGTAAAGGTTTATTGTAAAACCAGTACAATAAGAATAAAGGTAACAGTTATGCAACAAGGTCATCGCAAGTCAATCTAGTAGTGAGTGCTACTATTGGAAGGTCAGTAGTTCTCATGTAAGTCTGAGTTGTATTTAACATATCCCATTTAGTAATATTTGCCAACTTCCCTACGAGGTAGTATGTGGCACAAGGCTGAGTTTAATGTGAGGCAATCCAAGCCTGTAATCTCAGCCAAAAATTCCCTGTAGACCCCATATAAAATGAGGTCAGATTGCTGTTTCCTGAGATGAGGCTCTACTCTTCAATATAGCCTCATCTGGTGATTCTCTCTGCCTTCGGGCAGAGCGTACAACCAGCACAGCGGTTAAAGATCCTAGCTGTTTCCCCAAGATGAGACTGCCTTTCTGGGTATCCTCTCTGCTTGGAGGTAGAGAATTCGACCAGCACAGCCAAAAAAGATCCATCTAGTCTCTACAGTCAGTTGACTTACAGATACTTATAGGTAGTTATTATCTATAGTGTAGTCACTCATGAGGGTGACAGGTTATTCCATTGCATCAATTTACAAATCCAATGTTCAGATGAGCTCCATTCTTCAGTTCCACAACTTCAGATCTTTAGAGCTAAGATACACCATGCTGCATCCACAGAATCAAATCAGCCTCATTTCCTCTGCATATCAAATTGAAGAAGTAAGTGCCACTCAGATTACAGCAGAGATTTCTTTTAAATGAAATTTAGTATTTAAAGATCAAGAAAACCAGGTTGACTCATTACTCTACAGAATAATTTTAACATATTTCTAAACAAACTTTCAAGTTGTCATTCTTCCCCATTCACAGAAGAAAGTAAACCATTAAATTAAAAAGATGATGCCAGAAACACCACAATTAAACAATCTAAACAAATTGTTTTTATTAGTGTCTTTGTCCATTAACAAAGAAAATGTTATATTAGCTCCATTGAGGGCTGTATATTTGCAATTTATCTATAAAAAGTTTCTAACAAATTCTATCAATGTACAGTATGATTCAGTATTTCACTTCCAAACTCATGACTATGTGTAATTATATTCACTTTTTATTTAAGTGTTTGTCATATTCATAATGGCTATGTCTGATTTTTCATCCAGTTAGCTTAAATCTTTTGTTTTCGTAAAAACTATCTTTGTGGAAATAGAGTGAATATTGCTGTGAAACAACATAGATTTCCTTTCATAACTTTTATTTGCCTAAAAAGCTAGACATTTTGAGCTAAGTGCTTATGTACAATTAGCTTCTATATTACACAAGTAATTGCTTCACATCATAGTATCAAAAACAAGTTTATTCTTATGTATGTTTTGAAAATACTCTCTTCCATTATTAGTCACTTTGAATTTTTCTTAATATTTAGAAAACTACAGAAAGTGTTCATGGAAATAATTGCACTATTAACGTGTAGGATATTTTACATAATAGGTAACAATTATAATACAATACATGTCAGATTTATAATGTGGCAATAGTTTTATGAGTTTTACTAGATATTATTACTAGCATTATTAATCTGGTTACTGAAATTCCAAGAAAATTTGTTGTAATTAAAAATAATAATTACAGAGTATATGCAAAGTTTGCAAAGATGAACGTTTTGAATATAAATTTAAAAACAGATTCATTGTAATTAAGACAAATTTATAAAGACAATATTAATGTTACATGTATGCCCCATATTCAGAAGCTAATTTGGGAGTCTATTGATTTTGTAAGCTATTGTAGTTCATCAAATAAAACAAACTATACGGCATCCAAAATAGCATTCCAATGTTTATCTTTGCTAGTAAATTACCATTAACCAACGCAAACCTTCTTCTTTAGAATTCGTCTCAAGCCAACCACTACATCTAATGAGTGTCTTTGAAACCCATTTTATTCAGATAGCCTTTTAGTTTGTTTTCTTTGCTAAATGCAATGAAGCATTGTTATGCAAAAAATTGGCCTTCTTTCTGAAAGTATTTGGCTTCTTCTTGAACAGTAACTTCACCTGTGCCTTCCAAAATATCAATATATTTCTGAACTGTCATTTGAACACTTTCTGAAACTATCTAGCCTACAACTTGACCATCAATTACTTCACCCTCAACATCCTACCACTTTTGTTTAGAAAATGTCTCAACCTATAGCAACAATTTCCAACAGTAGTCACCTATTATGGCCCATTAAGAGCAGTATAGTATTTGTTTGTGAAAATAGCAGTTTTCATGTATTTTGTTGCCCATTCCAATTGATTTTTCCTAATGGATATCTTTTAAAGAAAGCCTGATAATCAGTCTTACATGTTTTGCCATGTTATTTTGAACTCAGCATCTTGTGATTTTGTTTGGTTTATGGCCATATCACATTCAAACACCGGTTCCCATACAATCACCGAAGTTAAGCAACATTAAGCCCGGTCAATAACTAGATGGGTGAAAACTTGGAAATACCAGGTGCTATAATCTTGCATGTATGGGTGGTGTAATGGATAATGGCTCAGGATTGGAGATCGGAGTTCCAATTCCAGTGGGATTCATTATATTCACTTGTGCAGAAATACCCTTGGGAAAGATATGAATCCACCTCTTCTTCCCATCTCTGGGTTAATTAGTAGGACTTGTATCAGTAAATCATTACTATCTCCAAAAAATTCTTACATTCTAAAGATATTTTCTTGCTTTAAATAACTTGCTAAAAAGGTTGATAAGCTCTAATCAATCAGTCAACATTTGGTTGCTTCTACAATGTCTAAAATCTTCACAGATTGACAAAGACAGACCTTTTATATCTTTATTTGGACACAGATCAGTGAGATAATATTCTCAACTTAAAGACCTGCACCAGAGTTGTACAAGATCATCAGTGAACTTTTTTACATTTTGGGGCATACATGCATATTGTTTCTGCAATTTTCAGTATTGTTTTATTTATGCAAGCTCTGAAGTTATAAAACATTTCTCTTTGACCATTGAATTAACCTGAAACTCCATTTTAAACTTTCAAATTCACAACATGCCTATTAACGTGAGAAATAACACTTCAGCATATTTCAAACAAATGTCTGCCATTTGTTTTCATTTGAACAGGAAAAATCAAATTCCATCCTAACTGTGCAAATATATGTTGACCTCATATTGCAAATAAGCATTTAGCTGCTATGTATAGCTAAGATTTATGACGAAATCCAAAGAAGAATTTGCAGCATTATCAGTTCTGACCTTGCATCCCAGCTTCAATCACTTTCCAACCACCTTAATGTAAATTCTCTATACATTTTGATAAATATTTTCACAGTAATTGTTCTAATGAGCTTTCCTTTTTGGTACCTCAACTTCATGAATTTAAGTGTAGTACTAGATTGGCAGATAGGTCACATAATCCCACTGTTGAAATTGCTAGTGGTAACCATAAGTTCTATGCCAATAGTTTCTCCTCCAGAATTTCTCCCTTGTGGAACTCTCTTCTAGCTTCCTTAAAAAATTAAATGTGATCTCAGCTGTCATCTTCTGCCTTTTTGTATTCTTTTCAGTATTTACATTAGTCGGACTATTGTCCTCATCTTTGTCGCCATATTTGTCACAACGTTTCGGCCGTTGTACACTCCGGCCTTCTTCAGGTAGTTGGAATTTCAAACTGAACCCTTTATTTCGATCACTGGGGTAGACTGTTCTAGTTCCACGTGCCATGTTTAATGGATGTCAGTTATCAGTTATCTCCTGTTAATTTTCCCTCTGAAAGTTCTGAACTGCCTTACTTGAGTACACAGGGCACAGTGGATAAAGGCGCTGGTTAGATCCAGTGACAGGACCCAAAGAGTGTGAGTTCAATACCCGGTTAGGGCAGTAGAGAACTTTCAGAGGGAAAATTAACAGAAGATAACTGATAACTGACATCCATTAAACATGGCACATGGAACTAGAACAGTCTACCCCAGTTAGTGAAATAAAGGGTTCAGTTCGAAATTCCAACCACCTGAAGAAGGCCGGAGCGTACAACGGCCGAAACATTGTGACAAATATGGCGACAAAGATGAGGACAATAGTCCAACTAATGTAAATACTGTACATAATACCTCATCTCAGAAATATAGACAGACTCTGTATTCTTTTCTTTCACTAACTTTCTTAACTCTTAGATCTTACTGGCTATTATCACCTCAATTAGGAGGAAATTATTAAAAAAATCAAACAATTCCAACAAGTATTTATTTTAAATATTGATAAAACATGAAGTGGCCAGTTATGTGAAATGTAGCATAATGCTAACCATTGTTTTTATTCTTACAATTTAGAAAAAAGAAAATTTATAGCAAGAAAAGAAATTTCCTATATTTTATATCATATAATATTGTACTTTTTAGATCAAATTTAGCACCTAAATAAGTTTTGGTGCATTATATATAAAGGTTATATTTTTTGGCAGCAACTCAAAGCATGTATGTCTTGCATTGCCATAGCAACAGAACCAGTTGAATTAGTGTGGAGATATGAGGTACCTTCTGGCATTCCTGCATACTAATTTAGCTCATTCAGCCACATGGATTTTAGCAGATATTTTTATTAAATTATATCACACATGGCATAAATTGCATGTGCTAGGGTGCAGAGAAGAAGACATTATTTTACTTTAAGATGAAAAGCAAGCTAAAAACAGAGGTGACTCTTAATCAAAAATGTCTACATAGGAATTTGAAAGAAAAGTTTAAAAGTTGCCAAAAGTCAAGAACTTTTCTCATTGTCTGCCATATTAACATTTCGGTTAACCTGATTTACCTTAATAAAATATTATCATCACAAAAGCATAATCTAAGACATTCCCAACAAGAATTGCTTCATCAGATGACACATATAAGGGGGAATCAATAATAGTTTAATACAGTTATTAGCTGTATTTAGATCTGAAATTTTCACTGTGTAATGTTTGATGTATGTGATAGAAAAACAATGAATTTCAAAGTTGTTGCAAAAAAATATTTGTTGTGTACAGTAAATGTCTATTATTAGTCTACAGGCTTACTGATGGACCTATCTTTTTTTATTTTTATGTTCTCTTTACTAAATTTCACCAAATATAAGGGTCAAGAGACACTCAAAGTAGAGGGTTACTGCATAAATGCTAATGATGAATTCAATGTGTGATATGAATAGAAGACAAGGTGGTAAGACATGAAGATTACGAGGATAAAGAGGAGAGATAAAAATTGAATCTTGACTTAAAGAAGTCAAGATTGAAATGTTCAGGGAAGTACTCACACTGGAGTCTGTTCCACAAAATGGTAGTTTTGGGGTGAAAAGCTAAGTGAAACTTTTTTCTTACATTTGAAACACAAGAGAAATGAGAGTGATTCAACTCTGTGGAAGTAACATAATGTATCCTAGATTTGTCACAAAACATTATTACCCTCCTTTAATTATGTAATTATAAAACTTAAATAAAACACATACAATTCATACTAAAACAAAAAAGGAAACAGAATCAGTTATAATTTGTAGTTACCGCAAAGCTTTTTTTTGACTCTGTCATTGATTAGCTGCTCTCATTTAACTTCAATTATAATCCTGTCAAAAATAAGACTTCTTTTGAAATGACTATCAGAAGTAACTCTGATAAAAAGTAACAGAGATATACAGTAACTAAATGACTAAATTTGACAGCATAAAAGATGCACAGATATATTACAGGCACACTCATTTCAGCAAGGCATATTCACAGAAACAGTTTTTAGTACATTATTTACGCCTTTATCCACTGTGCCATGTCTCCTTAAGGACACATGGCACAGTGGATAAAGGCGCTGGTTAGATCCAGTAACAGGACCCAAAGAGTGTGAGTTCAATACCCGGTTAAGGCAGTGGATAACTTGGAGAAGGGAATTAACAGGAGATAACTGATAACTGACATCCATTAAACATGGCACATGGAACTAGAACAGTGAGCGAAATAAAAGGTTCAGTTCAACATTCCAACCACCTGAAGAAGACCAGAGCATACAATAGCTGAAACGTTGTGATAAATATGGCGACAAAGATGATGTAAATAATGTACATAATACCTCATCTCGGAAATATAGACAGATACAGTTTTTAGTCTATTTAAGCATGTAATGTTTAAATCAGTATATTACAAAACATTACAAAATCATTTTTGCTATAGCAGAAAACATTACTGTATATAAAAAGCAAGCCAGCTGTACATAAAACACACCCATACCATTACCAGTCTTTGGCCACATCAGATGATGGACATATTTCTCTGTGGCTTTAATGTTATGTTACCCATGTTAGTGTTTTATTGTAACTATTATTTCTTTTCAATTATATTTCTTATTTTGATTTCCATCTTGATCATGATAGAAATGTAGTGAGTCAAACTGAGATATGATGGATCAGCTGATATTGATAAACACTGCCAGTAATTTTTTAGGATAATCCCATTTACAATATCAGTAATAATAATAATAATAATAATAATAATTTTATTATTTGAATAAACAATAATATTATGGTGTCAGGTTTGGTAGAAGTGGCCACCTGAGATAAAATTATAGCCTCTGGTTTTGAGTGCTTGGGATAAAATTAGACTATGGGAGTTTCAACTTCATATTGTTGGCTTAAATTTCTTTCCTTTTCCCCAATTAGTATGTATTGCACTTGAGCAGTCATGTGACCTTTAACAGCCAGTTGATGAAGCCCAGTCTGTACAGTTTTGGGATACACACCATGAAGAGATTTGTTTGATTTTTTTCATTTTTATGACTTATCATCCTTTTGTAGTTTATTTAAATCAAAAGTATATTTTGGATTGACAGAATAATTATTTTTTCTTTTATTTTTGTAAGTGAATATTGAATTAACAATTTGACAAGGTATCACCAATTTACCATTGAGTTGGCTAGATGTTACCGTATGTTTTTTACTAACATTTTCTTTTGTTGCACTTCTTGCTTGTGGAACTCTTTTCCAGCTCCATGCTTTCCAGTCAACTTTAATCTTCAAAAATTTAAATGCAATATCAGTCGCTATCTACTGTCCTCTTGATTACTCTTCTTTTGTTCTTACTCCTGAGTAATGTTTCTGTTTTCTAATACTACTTCTGTCTTAGTGGCTTTACTGCCTTGCTTGGGTTGAACTCAGTTTTGAAAAAAAAGAAAAAAAAGATGACAATGATTATTTCCTATTATTTAACTCTTTAGATGGAGAGAGAAGAGATGGATTCATGCCTTTCCCAAGGGTATTTGTGTATAAGTGAATGTAACAAGCCCAAATGGAATTTGAACTCAGTTCTCCAGTTTCCCATTCCAAACTGCTAACCACCTGCACATCCCACCTTGATGCTTCCCTAATGCATGGGTAAACACAGCCTCTTGCAACATTGTGTGCTGGACATTTAAGTAAAGACAGCTTCTGTAACATCCACTATATTTCTTTTATTTTATTAATGTTTTCTCTTTCTGAAAAATG